AGAATAGGCCTGGGGGTGAGGGGATGCTTTTCAAGAATCTTGTAGGCATGCATAGGAGTATTTTGGGAAAAAAAAGTTCTATGTTTTTTATTATGAAAAAAAATGGAGCAAAAACTCCTTTGTAAGATAAAACAGAAGTTAAAGCTCTATAAATCCTGTCTGTTTTTGTTTTCAGTTTTTAACAAACTTTATTTTAAAATAATTATTGATTCACAGGCAGTTGTAAAGATAGTACAGAGAGGTGCTGTGAACCCTTCATCCTGTTTCCCCCAATGGTTACTTCTTACGCAAGTATAATACAATAGCCAAACCAGGAAATTGACATTGGTAAGATGTGTGTGAATGCCATTTTATCCCATGTGTAGATTCCTGTAACTAAGACCACCAACAAGATACAGAACTATTGCATCATCACAAAGATCTGTCTTGTGCTACCCCTTTATGGTCACACCTACCTTCATCCTTCCTCACTACCATCCCTAACTCCTCGCAATCACTGGTCAGATCTCCATCTCTGCAGTTTTGTCATTCGAAGAATGTATATAAATGGAATCATATAGTATGTGACCTGTTGAGATGGGCTTTCTTCACTCAGTATAATTCCCTTAAGGTCCATCCACATTGTCACATGTGTCAATCCTTTGTTCCTTTTTATTGCTGAATAATATTCCGTAGTATGGATATACCAGTTTGTTTAACCATTCACCCATTGTGGGACATTTTGTTTCTTTCCAGTTATTGGCTATTACAAATGAAGTTGGTATGAATAGTGTACATGCAGGTTTCTGTGTGAACCTAAGTTTTTATTTCTCTGTGATAAATGCCTGACAGTGTGATTGCTGGGTCCTATGGTAAGTGTGGTTTTAAAACACGGAGAAACCTGCCCTATAGAGGGAAGCCCTGTAAGGATAGCAATCAGATCCCTGCACGTGGGGCCACATCAGTCCTGTCTCCCACACAATGCTTCTTCGGATAACCTCTGTTTATCGGGCTCAAAGCCTGGGCCTCCTTCCACACCACTGACGTTCTTCTGTGTATGCGTGTGATCATGGAAGGGTCACTTACTTTCTTTGAGCCCTGTTTTTAGTTTATGTATATAGTCTGCGTTGTCTTTCCTGCTGACCTCCTCTTCATCCTTTGATCACACTGAGGTGAGTATAGTTTATGTATAGTTATGTTCTTTTTCAGGTAACAGGCAGAAGCAAACACTTACGTTAACCTGCAAGCACGTTCCTCTTGTTTACATCTCTGTGTGATTCAGCCCGTCAGTACCTCAGCTCTGTGTTGTCTCAGCTTTAGTATTCACATATACTTAAAACCCCAAAAACCCACTGCTGTCGCGTCGATACTGACTCATCGTGACCCTGTAGGACAGAGTAGAACTGCCCCACAGGGTTTCCAAGGCTGTAAATCTGTATGGAAGCAGACTGCCACGTCTTTCTCCTTCGGAGTGGCTGGTGCGTTAGAACCTTCTACCTTTTGATGCTGGTATTCTTATCTACATTTTAAAGATGAAAAAATAGAGGCTTAGAGAAAGTCAGTTACTGGCTCAAGGTCACACTACTTCATTATGCTTTGGTATTTTGGAATTGAAAAAAAAAATTTATTACATTTAGATGCTGTTTGGATGAGGCATACCAAAAAAACAAAAAACCAAATCCATTGTCATCAAGTCAATTCCAGCTCACAGGGACCCTACAGGACAGAGGACAACTGCCCCACAGGGTGTCCAAGGCTATAATCTTTATGGCAGCAGACTGCCACATCTTTCTGCTGTGGAGTGACTCGTGGGTTTGAACTGTTGACCTTTTGGTTAGCAACTGACTGCTTAACCACTGTGCCACCAGGGCTCCTTGAATGAAGCATACTGGATGATAAAAATAAATTCAAAGAGAGCGGTGGAACATGAGTCTTTGTGGAAAGTTCTAGATTTTTAAAGAAATTTTAATCCATGATCCCCTTCATTTTTCATAGAAATATTCATTACTGTTTTAAAGTTTTACTGTTCTGCCTCCCTTCCCTGCAGCCCGCTAAATATTGCATGAGCTCTGGAGCTAGAAAAGTTTGCTTTGAATCCTAGATCTGCTACCAGCCAGCTGTGTAGGTTTGGGCAAGCCTTTGACTTTGTTTCCCATCTGTACATTGGAGCCAGCAGCACGTACCTGGCAGTGTAGGGTAAGAATGGATGCCTCTACAGCCTTCAGTGTAGGGTCAGGGATTGGTGCCAAATTACTGGTCATCATTGTGCTGATGGTGTTGGCTAACTCTTTACCAGCTCTTGATTTTTTTTTCCTTTCTCTAGATTGTTCTGTTGTGGCACTTTCACTTCTTCTACTGTCTCTCTCTTCTCTGTACCTATTTTAGGCACATTTTGTCAGTGTTTCCTTTATCTGTGGCCCCTTTCTCCTATACTTTCAGTGCCTTTGTTCACAGGAGGACTTGTAGCCTGTGTTCCTTTGAGCCCTGTAGGCATCAAATGCCAGCTCCCTCTAGTCTTCTAGACCTAATCAAAGGGAGGTGGCCTCTTCTCCCCATTTCATTTTTTTTAAACAGCCTTACTGAGATTTAATCCACGTACCATATGATTCACCCATTTAAAGTGTACATGCAATTCGTTTTTTAGCGTATTCACAGACATGCGCGACCATTACTGCAGTCAATTTTAGGACGTTTTCATTCATCACCCCCAAAAAAGACCCTTTAGCTCTATCTCCCCTTTGCCCCCCCAATCCCTCTCCCAGTCCTAAGCAACCACTAATCTAGCTTCTGTCTCTGTAGATTTACCTATTCTGGACATTTGATATAAATGGAATCATATAGTATTTGTCCTTCTGTGTCTGGCTTCTTTGACTCGGATAATGTTTTCAAGTTCACCCTTGAATGTGTCAGTTCTTCATTACTTTTTATGGGTCAATAATATTCCATTGTATACACATACCACATTTTATTTGTCCACTCATCAGCTGATGGACATTTGGGTTGTTTCAACCTTTTGGCTATTGTGAATAGTGCTGCTATGGCGTCTTTTACAAGTTTTTATGTGGACATATGTTTTTATTTCTCTTGAGTATATACCTAGGAGTGGAATTTCTGGGTTATATGATAACTCTGTTTAACTGCTTGAGGAACTGCCAGACTGTGTTTCATTTTCTTTACACGTGGAAATCTAGTCATCCTTCAAGTGTAGGTACACTTAGTTGGGTAAAAAGAAAACATATTTTTGTATTAATGTTTTTTTCCTAAGTCTTACTCAGTTTTCTAATATATTCATATATTATACATATATATATGGATAAGGTTTTAAGTGGAACATTTCTAGAGCAGTGGTCTCCAAAGTGGAGGGGTATACCTTTAGGGTATAAGATGATTCGTTGGGAAGCAAGAATAAAGTGCTATTTTATGTGTGGAGTCCCTGGGTAGTGCAAATGGTTAACGTGCTTGGCTGCTAACTGAAAGGTCGGAGGTTTGAATCCAGCCAGAGATGCCTTGGAAGAAAGGCCTGGTGATCTACTTCTGAAAAATCTGCTATTGAAAGCCTTATGGAGCACAGTTCTACTCTGACACACATGGGATCACCGCAACTCGGTGCCAACCATTTTTTTCCTTTGGTTTATAATTACATAGTGTATTAGAATAGCGGTACCTGGATCACCAAAAAACCAAACTTGTTGCTGTCTAGTCGATTCCAACTCATGGCGACCCCATGTGTTAGAGAGTAGAACTGCTCCGTAGGGTTTTCTTGGCTGTAATCTTTTTATTGTTATTATTATTGTTGTAGTTTAAATGAAGTTTACATTTCAAGCTACTCTCCCATACAAAATTTTATATATACATTGTTATGTGACCCTAATTGCTCTCCCTATACTGTGACAGCACATTCCTCCTTTCCACCCCAGATTCCCCATGTCCATTCAACCAGCCTCTGACCCCTCTGCCTTCCCATCTCACCTCCGGACAGAAGCTGCCTGTTTAGTCTCTTGTATCTACTTGAGCTAAGAGGCATACTCCTCACCAGTATCACTTTATGTCCCACAGTCCAGTCCAATCCCTGTCTGAAGAGTTGGCCTTGGAAATTGTTTTAGTTCTGGGCTGCTAGAGAATCCAGGGGCCACGCTTTCCAGGGTTCCTCCAGTCTCAATCACACCATTAAGTCTGGTCTTCTTACTAGAATTTGAATTGTGTACCCCATCGTTCTGCTGCTCCATCAGGGACTCTCTGTTGTGTTCCTTGTCAGGGCTGTCATTGGAGGTAGTCGGGCACCATCTAGTTCTTCTGGTCTCAGACTGATGAAGTCTCTGGTTTATATGGCCCTTTCTGTCTCTTGGGCTACTACTTTCCTTGTGTCTTTGGTGTTCTTCATTCTCCTTTATTCCAGGTGATTGGGACCAATTGATGCATGTTAGATGGCTGCTTGCAAGCTTTTAAGACCCCAGATGCCACTCACCAGAGTAGGATGCAGAACATTTTCTTAATAAGCTTTGTTATGCCAGTTGACCTTGATGTCCCCAGACCCCTACCCCTGCTACTCTGTCTCTCAAAGTGTTTGATTGTATTCAGGAAACTTCTTAGCTTTGGTTTAGTCCAGTTGTGCTGACTTCCCCTGTAGTGTGTCCTGTCCTTCCCTTCGCCTAAGATGATTCTTATCTACTATCTAGTTAGTAAATAACCCTCACCCTCTCTCCTCACCCTTGTAACCATCAAAGAATGCTTTCTTCTGTGTTTAAACCTTTTTTTGAGTTTTTATAATAGTTTGGCAGTAATCTTAACAGAAGCAGATCATCAGGCCTTTCTTCTGCAGTGGTGCTGGGTGAGTTGGAACTGCCAACCTTTAGATTATCAGCCAACCGCAAACCACTCACACTGCTTGGAGACCTTGTACATGTACATGATTTATACATAAATATTCACATACTGGAGATGCATATGCCCAGCTTTTTTTTTTGAATCAAATATTGAAGAGTAATTTTACAATTCTGGGGACCACTGTTCCAGGGACACATAATCAGACGTAGCTATGTGGTTCTTAATCCTGTGTTTTGTGACACATCTGATGGCAAAATTCTTTCAATTACTTTGCTAATGACATTGAAAATAATCCTGCTAATTTCAAGATTCACATGGAGAACATGTGAATACGAGTGGAAAGAGATTTGAATCAGGTGTCAGGTTTTTCTTTTTGTCCTTGTTCTGCTAAGTACTAATGGTGAAACTCTGGGCAAGTCCCTGAACAGTCTGCATTTCAGTTCTCACATTGTCACCATCACACCTGAAATACTGCAGGTAGCATTATGCAGAATGAGAGTTGCAGGTCTGACACATGCAGTGACCATAGGAAGTTTGTCATTTGTGTGTCTTGGGCAATCCTCCAGCTTTTAGGGAAAACAAACAGTGTTCCCCAATCTTTGCATTTGCTGAGTCTTCCCCTTCTCAGCCCCACCTCTCCTATTTCTCTTAATTTATGTTGTTCTTCCTCCATGTTCTTCTGACAGATGACTTTCAAAATTAAGAGTCATTGCTGTGGACTCAATCCGTCAGAGAGGAGCTCATGTGATGCCACCAGTCACCACTGCAGTATAGCTCTACTTCCTTCCTGGTGTTTTCATTATTAGAACACAGTGTTCGGCACATGCTGTGGTTGAGGTGCAACCATATGAAAATCGCCGTTCACCCTAATTCCTAGCCACTGTTGCAGAAGTTGCGGAGTCATCTTATTAGGTGTCTTAATGGCTTCTGTTTGATGTATGATAATTTTGGAGTCCATCGACATCTGTGGGGATGTGAATCTTTGAGTAAAGTCAAAGCATAAAGGGAAGTAGATCTAGAGAGAGACAGTAAGAGGCTCTGGGGAACTGTGTTAACCAAGCCGCTTGCATGCTGAGGGGTGAGGGACCTAGTGTCCCCTAAGTAATCTTGCCTTTGTCCTTGGCTCTGGAGAAATAACCCTTGGAGTAATTGGGGCGCCTTCATCTGGGACTTGCAGGCCACACCTGAGGCTTTGTGCTGGCGAGTAGGGGCTGGCCAAACCAGAAAAGACTCACCTGGGAGGCTGATGTTAGCCATCCTCAGGAGGCATGATCAACTTATCATGCAGGACTGGCCAGTAAAAGCCTGGAACGCTAAGGCTCAGAGAGCTTCCTGGTTGGTGAAGAGAGGGTGAGTGCCCTCTCCGAAGACAAGGAAGCTCCATGTTGGGAACCTTTCCGGACCTCGCCCATTCATTCTTCCTTATCCTGACTTATATCCTTTTACTATAATAAAACGGGTAGTCGTAAGTATAGTATCTTCCATGAGTTCTATGAGTTGTTCCAGCAAATTAACAAACCCAAGGATGGTGTCCTCTTAACTTGTAAGGTCTGACCTAGCCCAGGTGACTGGGGACACAGAGTGCCGTGTGGGTGGCTGGTGTCAGAAATGATGGAGAAGTAGGAAAGCAGGGATATGATTGATCTCTGCCTTCTGCAAATCAGCTTTTTGCTGATCCTCATCTATGAAACAAACATTGTACGTGCTATGGGTAATGATTTATTCCTTCTCTGTCCACTGGCATTTGTTTATTGCTGGGCATGCTTAGTATGATACCATAAAATTGATAAAAATAAATTGTACCTTTCACCCTTAGCTCTTATCATTTGTGGTTTCTGTTCTCTAATATCCGTTATTCTAAGGAAGTAGTTAACAGATGTTTTAGGTTGTGATCTCACATTTCTTCTTCAGGATGGCATCTCTTCTTGACCTTCTTTAATGGGCAGCAGGAATAACCAACATTAGCATACTTAGGTACTATGTGTTAGTTTGTTCATTCATTCCTTCATTCATTCACTCAAAGAATATGCATTGAGCACCTACTATGTGCTGCTGTTTTAGGTTCTGGGGCCAGAGCAGTGTCCAGAATAAACAACTATTTGCCCTCATAGAGTTTACATTCTACTGGGTGTTTAGGCACTGAGATTAAATGAAATGGGGATAAGGACCAAGGAGACAAATAGAGCTGGGAATGAGGATGGGAACTGTTAAGAGGGGCCATTTTTTATAGGGAGATCAAGAAAGGCCCTCCTGAGATGGCTCTTTACTCAGATAGGACTCCCTAGGATGTGCAAATGGTTAATGCGCTCAGCTGCTAACTGAAAGGTTGGAGGTTCAAGTCTATCCAGAGGTGCCTCAGAAGAAAGGCCTGGTGATCTAGTTACAAAAAATCAACAGTTGAAAACCCTATGGAGTGCAGTTCTACTCTGACATGTAAGGTCGTCAGGAGTCAAAATCCACGCGACGGAAACTGGTGCTGGTTACTCAGACACCCCCGGGTTACACCTTCAGTGAGCAGGCAGTGCCAGAACAGAGAAAATCCTATTTTACTGTCAGCTGTGACCTGCTGGTGCCTTTCATGGAATAGCTTTAAGACTGTTAGGACTATAAGGAGCCAGAGCTGCTCAGCCACCATCAAGGTGCCAGCTGCTTGTGGTCTGAAAAACATTTGTGAGGTCACTGTAGAGGTCATGATGGCTGCTGCCCACCTGAGGCATCTGGCTCTCTGCAGAGGCTGCGGCTTTACAGGCCATGTCGTGGCCCTAGGGATGAGATAGTTCCCGGTGTGGCATTGGCTCTGATAGGCAGGGGCCCATCCGCAATGACCCGGCTGGGCATCAGCAGCAGCGAGGGGTGGGCAGGCCCTGCAGTCTCTCCTTTGTCGCGGGCCTTTGCTGCTGCATGTATGGTAGCTAGTAATCTGGCCTGTGCTTAGCCCTCGGTCCCAGTAGGAAAATCTTGTTAGGAATGATGGTAAGCAGTGGAATTTGATTTCTCTTCCTTTAAAATGGTTTTTGGGGATCGACTTTATCTTTGTAGCCCAGGGTCTCTGATTCAGAGAGCCCCATTTATTGTGGCAGGGAGTATGTTGAGAAGATGCCAAGCATTGATTAACCTGTACTGCCTTCTGCCTGTCAGTACCTGATGGAGCCCTGGTGGCACACTGGTTAAGTGCTTGGCTGCTAAACAAAAGGTCGGCAATTCAAATCCACCAGGCACTCCTTGGAAACCCTGTGGGGCAGTTCTACTCTGTCCTGTAGGGTCGCTATGAGTCGGAATCAACTTGATGGCAACATGTTTGGTTATTTGGGGGTGAGTGACTGATACATGTGAATGTGTGTGTTTATTCACTATCTCCCCTCCACCAGATTGTACACTACTGGAAGGCAGAAAGCCTATATATAGTAGTCACCACTATCACCCCAGTGCTACTAAAACAAAAATGTTGCCTGGCATGTAGTAGATGCTCAGTGAATGAATAAATGTACATAGTGGTTAAGTGCTATGGCTGCTAATCAAAAGGTCGGCAGTTCAGATCCACCAGGCGCCCCTTGGAAACGCTATGGGGCAATTCTGCCCTGTCGTGTAGGGTCGCTATGAGTTGGAATCAACTTGATGGCAATGGGTTTATATATTTTTTAAATATATATATATATTTAAAGAACAGAAATTTATTTTCTCACAGTCCTGGAGGCTAGAAGTCCACATCAGCGTCTCAGTTGTTTCAGTTCCTTCTATGGGCCTCTCTTCTACTTTGTGGAGTCTGCTGGTGTTCCTCGGCATCTGGCTTCCCCGAGTGTTTCCATGTCTGTTCTGCTCTTTTCATAACTCAGAAGTGATGAGGTTTAGGACCCATCCTACTCCAGTATGGCCTCATTAGCATCATGGGAGAAAAACCCTTTTTCCAAATAGGATCATCTCCACAGGTACCAGTACCAGGAATTCCATTTATATTTTTTGAGGGGACACGATTCAATCTGTAACAGACATGATTGCTTTTAGAATAGGAGGGTGCAAAATTAAAGGCGGTAAGCATTTGGTAGTTATAGATTATGTTTCAGTGGATATTTTTTAATTAACAAACTACAAGCAATATGGCGACAAGCAGCATGCCCAGGGACTGTATGCGGTGTCTCATGAATTAACCCGCTGCCTTAAAGATGGAGAAAGGAAGGTGTTGACCTGCTCTCTCAGGGCCTGGGCCTTATTTCAGATCCTCACTCTCTCCAGTGTGTCATTCTGCCTCTCAGAGAAACTCATGCTCCCTGATGAGTGTCCACCCTGGGTTTCCATCCTCTCTCTGCCAGTACGCAGCTGTGACCTTGAGCATGGCATTGTCTCTCCTGGGTCTATTCCAGCTCTGAAATGTTCTGATTTTATAACCTGGCCAAGCCAGCACCTGCTGGTTATTTTTGTGAAGCAACACGTTTCTAGAAGGAAGTGGAGCAAGCAGTTGCTTCTGAAGATTGCTTTTTATAAGGAAGTCTGTTTTTGCTCAATGCTGTTTGGTCACTTCTGTATCTGGGAGGCTCATAAACAACATTCTCTTGGAAGTGTTAACTTTAATCTGACTATGTTTTATAAAAAAACAGTGAACACTGTTAGTTTCCATTTGTTTGAGGCTATATATTTTTCATGTGGTTTTATATGTGTAATCATCTCCCCTGAACAAGAAAGATATACGATGTGTCAAGAATTGAGAGTAAAACATGACTCCCTTCTATAGCTCCATCCTGTTGGAAATAATGAGGTTATCATGAGCTATGGACTCAGAACTGAGATTGGAACTAGCAAGAGAAAAGTCAACACAAAACAACATGAACAAAAATGTTCGCTGATGTATTTTTTATAATAGTGAACGGAACATTTCCATCTGTGGGGGTCTGGCTAAGTAAATTAAGGTCTATTTATACTATAGAAGGTGGTAAGACAATTAAGAAGAATGATACATATCCTCAAGACATATTGTTGAGAGAAAAAGAAGGTAGGTTATAGGATATGTCCAGTATGAGCCCATGTCGATGAGTCAGGATTGACTCGATGGCAGTGGGTTTGGTTTTCATATGTATAAAAAAGAAAACAAAAAATATATTTTGATCTGACATATGTATATTGATTCATAGAAAAAGGTCTAGAAGGAAAAAATATTGTTAACAATGTTTCTGGAAATGAAGTAGTTTGGGCAGGGCTTAGCAAGGTAAGAGCTCTTCACGTACTCTAGACTTCTGTGTTCTTGGCATTTTGTAAAAACGTACTCACGGTTTCCTATTATAATCATTAGAGAGGAAAAGATGTGTGACAAAGAGAAATTGGGGCACAGGGTGGCATTTGGGGTCAGGAAAAGGGGATGAAGCACTTTGGGGTAGTTAGTTCTGGCAGTTCCCGTGGTCCTATCCTGTGACACTTTGTGAACGGTGGTTTGGGGCTTGTACAGTATTTTCAGGATGTATTTATGTATTTAAAAAATATTTCAGAAACTTCATCTTGATCTTTCTTAGAACTTTTTTTTTTTAATTTGAACTAGATTTAAGATGAAGGGAGCATTGAAAACTAGCATTGAAAATAAAGTAGAGATTAATTACTTAATTCACTGTATAATAGCTTTCTAGATAAAAAGCCAGAGAAAAGTTTGGAAGGAGATTTTCAAGAAAGAAAATGGAACTGGACTATTGGGAAGCCAAAGTAATGTAAAGGTTTATTCTGGTTGTTTCCTTTTTACGATGTAATAAAACCCTTCAATCCTTCCCAGTTCGTCTCTGTGTGTAGAATTTAAGCTCAAGCAAACAGCAACATGGAGATTTTTTTTTAGTCTATATGTGCTAATCCAATGAAGTGAATAAAACCAAATTATGGTTTTGGTAAAAGCAGAATGTAGTTTAGGAAAATCTATCCCAACTTAGGTCACTTGTTAGTGGCCAGAGGTTAAATAACAAATGCCAAATTGATCCAGAGCATTGGAGCATCCATTTCATCGTTTCGAGCCATCAGCAGAGAATGAGTGTGGAGGAAACATCAGCAAGAAGATGTGACCTAGGACCAAGGACATGTAGTCCAATTTTCACATGTACCTTCTTTTGGCCTATTTGAACTTAGACCTTATCATTGCAAGCACTGGGTGAGAAAAATTTCCTATCTTTAGGAAACATGGATTCACTTCTATCCCTGTATGAATAATTCTGCTTAGTAGTAGAACAGTTGCATCTGCCACAGAAGCCTTTTCTCTGGCTCTGACTTTACTGAATTTATTCTGCATTCAATAAACATTTATTGAGCCCCTATATGAGTCCCTGGGTGGTGCAAATGGTTAATACCTTCGGCTGCTAGCCCAAAGGCTGGGGGTTCGCGCTTAGCCACTGGTGCCTCAGAAGAAAGACCTGGTGATCTACTTCTGAAAAATCAGCTACTGAAAACCCTATGGAACACAGTTCTACTCCGACACACTTGGGTCGCCACAAGTCAGAGTTCACACAACAGCAACTGGTTTTTATATACAACCCTTCTAGGTATGGGGGATGTGACCTGGAGAACAGACCAGACCCTTGCTTACCTGAAGGGCTTTATTACGTTGTAAAAAGGAAACAACCAGAATAAACCTTTAAGTTACTTTGGCTTCTGTGGTGCGATTAATTACTTTTGTGTGTGGCCTTTCTAGCCTTGGTCTTTTAACTTCTACCCAGGTGATTGTGTAATAGGGTAGTTGTGGGCTACTAAGGTAATTGGTCAGTTTTGTCTTAAAAGAGAGCCAATTCCAGAGCAGAGAGGAAGATCCCATCACCATCAAGGAAGAACAGCCAGGAGCCAGTGCTGGGAGGCTCCTGGGACCAGGAGACAGAGAGAAAGCGAGCTGTAACTCTGAAGACTGTAAGAAGCAGTGGCAGGAGAGACCTGGCAGCAGGAGACAGCATGTTGGGCTTCCCGGCCGACAGAGAGAAAGCTGAGGGCCTTTGGGGAGAGGCTGAGAGCCAGAGAGAGGTGTGCCTGAGCACGGCTGCGGAGAGGCTGTCCTGATGGAAGAACCATATCCTGAGTGTTCTTGAGCCTGAATTGTAACTGTTACTTCCCTAATAAACCCCATAATTGTGAGTATGATCTGTGAGTTCTGTGTGGCCATTGCAATGAATTATCGAATCCAGTAGAGAGTGCTGTGGGAGGGACGGTTGGTGTCAGAATTGGTAAAGATGGCAGAGAGAAGAGGCTTGTCTGGCTTCCGCCTCATGGGAATTGGCCTTGTGCTGTTGATCTTGGTTCTCCTTCCCCCTTGTGGGGTTGGAGGAGGTCAAACTCCTCTCCCAAACCATTTTTACAGCTTCCCAATAGTCTAGTTCGACTTTCTTTATAGTTGGGGCAGAGTGACAGTGAGGGGCTAAAACTCTAGGAAGTGAAAACCACTACGATGAAAATTAAACAGGGTGATGTGATGGCGAGTGTGTGAGAAGCGACACTTGAAAGAGTGTAGCATGGGAAGTGGCGGGGAAAGACTTCTTTGAGGAAGCAGTTCATACACTAGGCCTGCATGTCAGAGAGGAGTCAGGTGTGTGATCATTTGGGGAAGGAGCATTCCAAACAGAGGAAACTAGAACAGTCCTCCAAGAGTGGGGAAGAGCTTAGCGGCTCAGGAGCTTGCTGTTGGTTGGACGGAGAGGTATGAGAGGGGACTGCAGGGGCAAGATCGAGTCCGGCTTCAAGGACAAAGTAAAGAGTTTGGATTTCATTCTAGGAGTGATGGGAAGCCATTGGGGGGGTTATTTAGGAGAATGACGTTTTTAGAAGACCCGCGGGACACTTCTTGATTGTAGGTAGGTGAGAGTAGAAGTGGGGAAACCATTGAGAAGTATGGCAGGATGTCCAGGTGGGACAAGTTGGTGACTTAGACTAGGGTGATAACTCTAGACGTAAACTCGCTGCTGGATTAAAGGTGACGATTTAGGGAAAGACAGGATTTAGGGAAAGACTCCTAGGTTTTTGGCTTGAGCGACTGAGAGGTATATTTCTGGAGGTGGGGAGAACCAGGAGAGGAGCAGGTTTGGGGGAAATCAGTGTCTGTTCTGGATGGATCCAGTTTAGGATGCCACTAGGCAATGTTAAACGGGCAGTAAGATATGCCAGCCTGGAGTTCAGCTGGGAGGTCAGGAATGGAGATACACACGTGGGAGTTGTCTGCATACATACCCCTTGTGGTCCAGTCGATTCAGACTCATGTGACCCCATGTGTTACAGAGTAGAACTGCTCCATAGGGTTTTCTTGGCTCTAATATTTATAGAAGCAGATCACCAGGCCTTTCTTCCACAGTGCTGCAGGATGGGGTCGAGCCACCCACCTTTTGGTTAGCAAACTGTTTGCGCCACCCGGGGACCTACACGTAGTGATGATATTGAAAGCCATGGAACTGAGACCATCGTCTTGCACTGGCCACTGTGCCTGTGTGCACACAACCATTCGGTAGGCTGAACTGTCTGAACAGACCGCCTCTGGGTCTAGACCTTCCCCTGGCTGCACTTGGTTTTGTCATTGAGGTTGCTTTTAGCTTTGCAATGTGAAGGGTGGGGAGAAGAGTGAAAAGAAACATTTGCGGGGCCTGTCATTACAGTTACAGGAGTGCTTCTCATTTGTGCAGCTCTCTCCATGTTTCACCTCCTTGGCTTTGAAGAGCAGACATTTATTTTCTCACAGTTCTGGACACTAAAAGTCCAAATCAGGGTATCGACTTTTGATTCCTTCCTCGCTGGTAGCCCTTGGGGTTCTTTGGTTCCTTGTCTTGTAGGCAGGTTTAGGGTTAGTTGTTTCTATACCCACAGTGGCTCCATGGGAGAAAAGACCTGGCCATCTGCTCCCGTAAGGATTACAGCCAAGGAACCCCTGTGGGGCAGTTCTGCTCTGTCATGTGGAGTCATTATGAGTCGGAATGACTTGATGGCACACCATCACCACCACAACATAGTCACCACAGGAATTTAAAGTCTGTGTTTGGTCTATTTATCTATAATGAAGTTACTGATATGAACGGGTTTCAGTGCATCCTCTTGCTAATTGTTTTCGGCGTGTTCTTTTGTGACTGGCTTCTTTCACTCAGCACAATTTTTTTGAGATCCATGTTGTTGCATATGTCAGTATTTCATTACTTTTTATTGTTGAGTAGTATTCCATTTTATGGCTATGCCATATTTTGTTTATTCAACATTTTAATCATCACCTTACTTAACTAAAGCTAAAAACTGAGCTAAACAGTGGGTGAACCACTTTAAAGTTTATCGAATTATTATCTCATAAAGAATGATCATTGATAGCACGTAGCTATTTATAATAAGTAACAGCTGTTTATAAGAAATTTTAAATAATATTTAATAAACATGGCAAATATTTGATGTTTAATATTTAATGTGAAATAGAAATTATTTAGTATTTAAATGTTTCTCATAGGCAGCATATCAACCGTGGTTTTTTATCCATTCTGACACTCTCTGTCTCTTTATTGGTGCGTTTAGTCCATTTACATTCAGCGTAATTATTGATAGATATGAGTTTAGTGCTTTTGTCATTTTGATGTATTTTTTGGGGGGAGGTTGTTGACAGTTTCTTTGTTCAACTTAATTTTCTGTGCTGAGTCATTTTTCTTCACGTATTTTCTTTTCATCGTTTTCATTGTTGTTGATTTTGTATTTGCTGAGTCTTTATGTTTTTCTTGTTTTTTATTTTGATGTATAGGATTGTTAGTTTCCTTTGTGGTTACCTTAATATTTACCCCTATTTTTCTAGGTTTAAGCCAGTCTTTTATTTCTTTGTGTTGCCTTGACTTCCTCTCCATATGAAAGATCTATGACTACATTATTTAGTATTTAAATGTTAAAGTAACAGATATTAAAGTAAATATTTAACATGAAGCTATATATTTTTTTAATGAAGCAAAGTGCTGCTGACACCCCCTAATGTTTTATATGTCACTCATCTACTTTGTTGAAGTACAAAAAACATTAAATAAAAATAAGAAAATTTGAAACTGTGTCTTTACTTCCAACTAGTATTCCCATTTTGGGTTTGATATTTAATTGGAATAATTCTGATGTGTGAATGTTTTACCTTTTTCTGTGATTTACCAGTCTTTTGTGGCTTCTTCAATTGTTTGTATTCGTTGAAAAACCTTTCCTCTACACAGTAGTTAAGAGCTCGACTGCTAACCAGAAGACCAGCAGCTGGAATCTACCAGCCACTCCTTGGAAACCCTATGGGGCAGCTCTACTTTGTCCTATAGGGTCGCTATGAGTAGGGATGGCAATGGGGTTTTTAATACCAATGTCAGGCCTCCTATGTTTGCTGCCAGTTTTATGGCTTTTTTGTTTGTTTGGACTTGTAAACCCAAGTGGAGTTTATTGTGTTTTGTGAGGTGAAGTACAAACTTTTCTTTTTCCTCCTCAAAATAATTTGGAGTTTAAAATATGATGGAACCCCTATTTCTCTGAATGATGCTTGTTTATTGCAGATAAGCCCTCCAGATCTCCAGCTGGCCATGTGGTGAATTCAAGTCCCCAGCAGCCACCAGAGAACACCTCCTCTGTTTTGAATGGGGTCACACCAGCCCCGAGCCTGGAAAAATGGAGTCGCAGTCTACAGGCCTGCAGGAGACTTCCGTGGACCCCTGGGAAAGGATCAGGGATGACTCTGTCGACGTCGATGGTTCGCCCTGCCTCTCGGACTCTGACCACTCCCCTTCCCCCGTAGACATCCGGTTCTCGAGGCCCAAAGTCACCTGGATTAACCCCCAGGATGTGCAGCCACCGTTGCAGGATTTGCGCCCCCCGGTGGCAACCACGGGGAAGAGCGGGAGCCACTTTGTAGCTGACGCTGCTTCTTCATTGGGCCCTTCGCCGTCATCCCTTGAGAACTCCCCGACAGAGACACCATTGTTGGAGGACGCTCTGCAGCACCCCCTGGGCGGTTGCTTTGCCTGTGGCTCCTGTGAAAAGAGTAGAGACTTGTCTTTGAGCTCAACGAAAGAGCGGGCTGTGCTCCCAGGAAGTTCTCTTCAGGGGTCTGTGTTCACTAACTCTGAGATTTTGGCCACTTCCCCGTGTCCTGAGGCAGATGGTGCGTTCATCGCGCCTTTCCACCCAACAGCTTCCACTGATGACGGTAACTTTCGTCCAGGACTTCCCTCATTCCTGTCTGTTCTCATACTTGCTTTGCCTTATCATCTTCCCCATGAGAACAAAGTTTGCATTTTGAGTTTCCAAAATGAGTTTCCATTTTGACTAGAAGCCAGTACATTAGCTCATTTAATGCTGTCTTTGGCCCAGCTACCTGGGGTGGTCAAACAGTGAAAGCAAGTGTTTTCTTTCTCCTTAGACTGTAGGGAAAATGCCACCTTTTTTGCTCAACATAAATGCATTGCCATCGAGTTGAATCCGACTCATAGTGACCCCATCTGTGTTAGAGTAGAACTGTGCTCCATAGGGTTTGTAATGGCTGATTTTTCAGAAGTAGACAGCCAGGCCTTTCTTCTGAGGCACTTCTGGATGGCTTGAACCTCCAATCTTTCAGTTAGCAGCCGAGTGCCTTAACTGTTTGTACCGCCCAGGAGCTCCTTAGCTCAAAATAGATAACCAATGCTGTGTCTTGTCTTTGGGCTGCCATATTAAATCATCTGCAAAGGAGAGCTTCAAAAATTTTCTCAGTTCAGTGTGGTTGGTGGAAGATACTTCCAGAAAGTCAGCTACAGGAGAGCTCTGTTACACACATACTTCTGTAGGAGATTAACCCACCTCAGCTATTATATTTACCTGTACAGGGTGTGACTATAGAATGGCAAGATTTAAAAACAATAACCACATTAGCCCAAAGATGATACGAAAACTGCAACCTGTGGGCCAGATCCAATCAGCCACCTGTTTTTATGAAGTGTGTGTTGTCTATGGCTGTTTTCTTCCCACAATAGCAGAGTCGAGAAGTTGCAACAAAGATTGTAGACTCTCAAAGCCTATAGTTTTAGTCCTTTACCAGTTGCTGCCGAATGGATTCCGACTCATGGGAGTCCCTGGGTGATGCAAACGGTTAATGGCCTGTACTGCTAACTGAAAGGTTACAGGTTCTAGTGCACCCAGAGGCATCTTGGAAGAAAGTCCTGTTGATCTGCTTCTGAAAAATCAGCCACTGACAACCGTATGGAGCACAGTTCTACTTTGACATACATGGGGTCACCATGAGTCGGAATCGACTGGAACGTAACTGGTGTTAGTCCTTTACAGAAAACATTTGCTGACCCCTGATAGCTTCTGAAGCTAAGATGCTCAAAGCTTTCCATGGAACAGCCCCTTTCTTTTTTTTTTTTTTTATGGAGCAAAATGGTAACCATAATTTTTTTTTAAATTGTACTTCAGGTGAAAGTTTACAGAACAAATAGTTTCTCATGAAACAGTAGTACACATATTGTTTTATGACATT